CAATTCATCAATTCATCAATTCATCAATTCATCGATTCATCAATTCATCAGTACATCGATTCATCAATTCATCAATTTATCGATTCATCAATTCATCGATTCATCGATTCATCAATTCATCAGTACATCAATTCATAAATTCATCAATTCATCAGCTTAATAAAACATCCATTAATTAATTCATCAATCCACCAATTCGTCAATTCACCAATTCATTAATTCATTGATTTACGTTTTCGCCAATTTACCAATTCAGCAATTCACTAGTTCATTAATTCATCTATTCATTAATTGATCTTCATTCATTGATTTTCATTTTTTCAATTAATTCAATTTTTCAGCATTTGTATTTGTCCAATTTTTCAATTAAGCAATTTTCCAAATACCAAAATCTAATTGTTTACCTATTTACAAATGTACAATTGCAAAGATATACAGACGTGCAAAATTTCTTAAATACTCAAACACGTAAACACATATTTCAATATAAAGATTGAAAACCTTGTTAATTTGCAGTTTGCAAGTATAAAAATTTATAGACTCACAATTCACTCGTACGACAATGATTTATGACCGTGTAAAAATTAATTTCCAGATTCATATCGGGTGTTCTCTCCCTATTCAGTGAAGGATGACCTATCGCTGTCCATTCTTAAAATTCTGAACAATCTTTTTCCATCATCCGGCGTATCTCGACAGTATTAAATCTTGAACCGATATAAACACGATTTCTGCTCGCATTTTATGCGCCTTTCCGTAACATTAAAATCAGAGAAGCGTGACAGGAGTCGGTTCTTTTACTTCTCTGAAAGAAAAAGCAAACACTTGATGAACAACGTGCGATACGGTTGACGCACGCAGAGTGCAGAGTGTAAAGGCAACCGGGATCGTTTGACACACCTGGAGGCATTTACTAGGACGATCACGTTTGTCAGACAGGCAAAACCATTAAGGCACTAACGCGAAAAAAGGGGAATTTATCCCCTTACACAACGCACGGTGTACAAATAATTCAGAAAATAACCTTCCTCGTTTGTCAAAGTACGCACATAAGACTGTCGTGTGGACTTGTATATTTCTACATTGTTGCTTTTCCACATTTTTCTAGCTCACTCGATCCTTAATATTTTTAAAATTAAATAATAATATTGGATTTAGAGGAATATTATAAAAATGTGTGTGGTAATGTAAGTATTATTATGTAGTTGTTTGTTAATATTGTTATTGTTGTTGTGGTGAAGCAGAAGAATCTACTAAAACAAAAAGTAAACAAAAGTCAGGAAGGGGATCTCACCACATTCGCCGCAGCCAGACAACTTCTTGCCTTTATTATTATATAGAGATTGATGAATTGATGAATTGATGAATTGATGAATTGATGAATTGACGAATTGATGAATTGATGAATTGATGAATTGATGAATTGATGAATTTATGTACTGATGAATTGATGAATTGATGTACTGATGAATTGATGAATTGATGAATTGATGAGTTGATGTACTGATGAATTGTTGAATTGATGAATTGATGAATTGATGAATTGATGAATTGATGTATTAATGAATTGTTGAATTGGTGAATTGATGAATTGATACATATGTAAGATAAGAGTTTGATGTACTAATAGTTCAATATATTGATAAGTCGGTAGACTGATAAATTGATCGATTCATGGATCGATAGATTTGTGATTTGTGACTTGAAAATTCGCAAATGTAGCAATCTATAAATTTAGAATTTGATAATTTGCAAAAGTGAAAATTTGGAAATGCGTAAATATTGCAATTTAAAAATAATTTTGGAGAAATCTTTCAGTTTGGACAGTTTGATATTTCAGAAATTCTATTTTGTAATTTAAGTTTGAAAATATCACTTCGTTCCAACTGCATACAATTTATCATAAATTTAAAAATAATTTATTAAAAACCACTCGGTCTGAACAATTTGATTTTTCAAAAACTCTGTTTAGAATTAAAGAAATTTTTCACAAAAAATATCACTAACTCTATGCAATTTATTAAGAGTCACAATGTGAACAATTCGCCGTCTCCGAATTTCTGTTCAGTAATTTAACAAATTTCCATCAAAGTATCATCGTACTTCAATAGCAGTTCCTTGCAATTTCCAAGACGATTTTCCACCGTTTGTAAATTTAAAACGGTATTTACGCGAATTTGACCGAATTCCGAGTACGATAAGCATGTTTGCACTGAAACGGCAAGAGGAAGCGATATTGCAACGCGTTTCGATCCAATTAAAAGGCAAACAGGAACAGATATTTGTCTCACCGCTACCTTGCTTACTGATTACAGTTTCAACAAATTGCTGTTGCAAAAGGAAGAGCTCGAGCAGAAGCACTTGCACCTGTTGCAGATCGTGGAGAGCGAGAAGACGGCTAAGTGGCAATACACACAGCAATGCGAGGAGCTTGCTTCGGAAATAAAGAAGCTCCGGGCAGAAGTGAGTTCAAAATGGCTCCGCACTTTGTTGATCTAACGAAACTGCGGTAGAACTTCAATTATTCCTACTAATGGAAAAATGATGTACAGGTAGTCTCGAGTACCTTTATTGCCCAGTTGTACAGGCCGTGGCGCGTTTAAGTTAAACATTGAAGTTATTTTTACACCCTCGTACTTCCTTAACTGTGAATTTCTAAATGTTCGTATTTTCAAGATTCTGAAGTCACGGACTTTTAGGATTATTAACTTTTTTATTTAAATTTTCGAGCGTTTATGTTTTCCATTTTTCAAGTTTTCAATTTTTCGATACTTCAGTTATTTAACTTTTCGATTTTTCAGTTCTATGAATTTTCAATTCTTGGATTTTTGGAGTTTTGGATTTTCGGATTTTCGGACTTTTGGACTCTTGCAGTTTTGAATTTTTTGATTTTTCGACTTTCCGATTAATCGATTGTTCGATTAGTCAGTCGCTCGATTAGTCAATAATTCAGTTAGTCGATCGTTCGATAATTCGATTGTTAGATTAGTCAATAGTTCGATAAGTCAATTATTCGATTAGTCGATCGTTCAATAATTCGATTGTTATATTAGTCAATAGTTTGATAAGTCGATTGTTAGATTAGTCAATAGATCGATAAGTCGATTATTCGACTAGTCGATCGTTCAATAATTCGATTGTTAGATTAGTCAATAGTTCGATAAGTCGATTATTCGATTAGTAGATCGTTCAATAATTCGATTGTTAGATTAGTCAATACTTCGATAAGTCGACTATTCGATAAGTCAATTATTCGATTAGTCAATCGTTCAATAAGATTGTTTTATTGTTCGATTGTTTGCTCAGTCAATCGTTCGATTATTCTACTAGTCGATCAGTCATTTACTAATTTAGTCGATCGTTCGTCTTTTCGTCTATTTATTAGTCGACTGATCGATTGCTCTACTATTCAATTGATCAATTATTCTATTTTTCGATTATTTAAGTAGTCGATTAATTAATCATTCGATTATTCCATTAATCTTCGATTGTCCGATTAGTCGATTGTTCAATCGTCCAATTATTCGATTGATTGATGGATCGTTCGATAGTTCGATACTTTCATTAATCAACATTTCTAAATTCACATATTTTAAAACTTTCAAATAACACGAAACAAACGCGTTCACATCATCCAAATCGAGAAACCGACTCTAAAATAAACGCCTCCGGAAATCCAATTCAGTAGAGGTTAGGTTAGATTACATCAGGAGAAATTACTGATAACCGCGCAGTAAAGCAGTTATAACGTACTCGAGTCTGTTTGAAATCCGGAATTTGGATGCTGTTACAGTTGTGCGCCCTGAAGAAAGAACTGAGGCCAGTAGCGGCACCGTACGCAACGAGACCGGGTGTTCAAAGGACCATGTCCCAGGGCACCGGAAGTTTGCACATCACAGGTTCTCCGTTCGGTATGGACGGGCACGGTACAGGAGTTTCCGGATTTGGGCTACGAGATGTCAGCGAGGGCTCCATTGAAATGCAGAAAATTAAGAAAGTTCAGAGCTTCTTCAGGGGCTGGCTGTGCCGTAGGCGTTGGAAACAAATTGTGGAACAGTATATCAAAAGCCCTCACGCGGAGAGCATGCGGAAACGGAACAGGTAAACTAATATATTACTATCATTTATTTCTAACATTTAGAATGATGTTGAATGACGTTGTTAAATGACAATAGTAAGATTGTATGAGTAGGGATTTTGCAGATTTTGTGGGGTATGCATTTTAGTATGTAGGGATTTCAAGATTTAGGGATTTCAGGATATAGGAACTTCGATATCTAGGGATTTTATGAAATAGGGATTGCTATCTAGAGATTTTGAGATTTTGGGATATAGGGACATAGAGATTTTGGAATTTCGAGATTTTCGAGATTTTGGGATAATTGTAGGGATTTTTCAATTTAGGGATTCTGGGATCTAGGAATTCTGGAACCTAGGAATGTTGGAATCTAGGGATTTTGGTTAGGTAGTTGGGATCTAGGGATTTTAGTATCTGAGGATTTTGGTATCTGGGGATTCTGGGATCTGGGGATATCGGGTTCTGTGGATTTCGGGATCTGGGTATTTTAGGATCTGGGGATTGTGGGTTCTGGGGATTTTGGGATCTTGGGATTTTGGGATCTAGGGATATCGGGTTCTGTGGATTTCGGGATCTAGGGATTTTAGGATCTGGGGATTTTGGGATCTGGGGATTTTGGGATCTGGGGATTTTGGGATCTGGGGATTTTGGGATCTGGGGATTTTGGGATCTGGGGATTTTGGGATCTGGGGATTTTGGGATCTGGGGATTTTGGGATCTGGGGATTTTGGGATCTGGGGATTTTGGGATCTGGGGATTTTGGGATCTGGGGATTTTGGGATCTGGGGATTTTGGGATCTGGGGATTTTGGGATCTGGGGATTTTGGGATCTGGGGATTTTGGGATCTGGGGATTTTGGGATCTGGGGATTTTGGGATCTGGGGATTTTGGGATCTGGGGATTTTGGGATCTGGGGATTTTGGGATCTGGGGATTTTGGGATCTGGGGATTTTGGGATCTGGGGATTTTGGGATCTGGGGATTTTGGAATCTGGAGATTTTGGGATCTGGGGATTTTGAGATCTGGGGATTTTGGGATCTGGGGATTGTGGTATATAGAGGGATTTTGGTTGGGTTTTTGGAATCTAGGGATTTTGAGATCTAGGGATTTTTAAGATATTAGTATTCTGGTCTATAAAAATTTTGGGATATAGAAATTTCAGGATATGAAGGTTTTTGCACATAGCGGTTTTTGAAAATAGTGATATAAGGATATGGATTTCAATATAATAGAAATTTTGAGTCATGTGGATTTCATTTGGAATTTGGAAATATAGAGATATGAGGAGATATAGAAATCTAGATATCTAAAAATATAGTAATCTGAGAATTTAGGAAATTATAGATATAGGAATGTATTTAAATATATTGGAATATAGTCATTTAGAGATTTAGGAATTTAAGGATATAAGGATCTAGGGATCTATTTATACATGTAATCTCTATTATACAATATTTACGGTCTCCACATAATGCGCACACGTTTCATTTTATAATATATATTATAATCATATTATAATTGTCTGATAATATATACTATAAAATCGATTTCACAGAAATTTGTCTGGCATTTAATTACCGGATGGACGTTCATGACACAAATTTTCCGCGATCAAATTATTATACTTCATTTCTGGAATTGCACAAATTTCTTGGCGTGGCAGCGATCGTTACGAGTTTCGAGTTTTGTATTTAACGAAATGAACTTTTAATTCGAAGAAAACGACACGTACAAAGTATGGCCGAACTCGTTGCACCCGCAGGGCTGTTGCAACCACAATATTGTTACATCCCATTATATTCCCACGGAAGTATCGCGAAATGGTTGAAAGCAAAGTTTACCGTGTTAAATATGCACAACCGTCGGGAATACTGTTTGCCTGCTAGCGTTTTGCATCTTGCGTTATAGAACGTGCGTTTGGTCAACCATAGACTTCAAAATTACAAAGGTACAGTTATCGCGGAGAATGAGTAATTACTTTTCCTCTGGAGGAATATGTTAGATAATAGTCTTTATAATAATCTGCGATGCGTATTCTTTCACGGTTCTGGGTTAAAATGCCTTGCCGTCTCTCAAGGTCCACTTAACGAAGGCACAAAACGGGGACCTACGGAGCGGGGGAGAGGAGGGAGAAAGGTCAACTGTGTCAACTATCCTTCTGATCAATTTTCGGTTCAGCAAGGAACTCAGTCGTCAGACTGGTCATGGCACCATTAGGGGGCGACAATGGGGACCGAGCGCGAGCGGGATCGGCAGATCGGCAGGAGAGAGGAAGTAGAAACTACATCGTTCGGGGAAATAGAGACTGAAGTAAAAGGTTAGGGGCCATATTAGTTAAACATAGAGACGCGAAATAGTTGCGTAAAGTTACAGGAAATTTGGGAGGGGGGTTAGGCTAACATACACGCGATATCGAGCATTAGCGATTTAGTAGGTGTGATGTGGTGGGGAGAGGTCGCAGTTTTAGGACCGTATGTTCCGACGCGGTGGAAGGCGGAAGCGGGTGGCGTTACAGGATGAAGCTGGAAGATGGAGCGCTCGCGCAATGACTTCCCCAGAAGACTTCCCCGAGGAACTTGACGAAACCACCTGGGCCAAGAGCCACCGCGTAAGGGCATCCTCTCTCTGCATGCAGAGCACACGCGGAAGACGGGGTTCAGTCTCTTTTTCAACGAATGCAAGCGATGGCCTAGTGCGAGTGGAACATATCCAACGACGATGAAGCATAGAATTCTTGTTTAATAACAAGTAGCGACATCACATAGTAATAGATCAAAACCTATGTCATAGAGCGCCGTCTAATATTATGTAGAGTAAGCTGATTAGATCAAATGTATGTATAGAACAATGTACCACGTGCAACATTACTTCTGTTAAAATAAATTTATATAAAAGTGTTAATTTGTGCAGAAGATAAATTAAATACCAAAAAATATACTGCGAAAACATAACTTTAACAAATATATTTAAAAAATATTTTAGAATCAATAGCTAATAAAGAGGTAAAAGCTAAGCTTCTAATAGATAATCAAGGAGCATTAAGTTTAATTAAAAATGGAATTTTACATAGACGAAGCAAATATATAGACGTTAGGTTTCATTTCATAAGCGAAAAATATGCTGAAAGCATAATAGGTATAGAATACTGTCCTACTGACGAACAAATAGCTGACATATTAACAAAACCTTTGAGTATAGAAAAATTTAAGAAACTTAAACATAAAATAATTTACTAATAGACTTACATTTAAGAGGGAGTGTTAGAGAGTAAATGTAATAGCTAGTTGTATTCATAGAAGGAATCTACCTTATCGTTTCATATATGTAAGCGACACCTTTATGTAAATATGTAAACTGTATATATATGTATATTATGTGTTAGATAAAAAGTCTTTGTGATAATTAGCGATCCGTATTCTTCGAAAGTTCTGGGTTAAGTGCCTTGCTGTCCCTCAAGGTCCGCTTAACGAAGGATGCAATATCTTCCCTACTCTGTGACCAGATGCTACTAGAATACCCCAATCTCTGTGCACGTGCCACGCAGCACCATAACGTCGGGTCATCGGCCACGAGGCACGACACCTTCGGTGATCCTCAAAGGAAAAGGCATTAACTTCTAACGATAACATTCGCGACTATTAGAATTCGTCGCGGTCCTTAGCTATCGGTTACCATTGATCGTTAGCTCGATGACGGACATAAGTTTATATTATTGTCATCCTAAGACCCCTAAGAACCGGGTCAAAATCCGGGATACGATGACCCTGATACGTGTGCCACCTTTGCACACGGCTTGACGCTAACAAATATTAAAAAGTTTCTACGTTTTCCGAGGAAAATACCATGGTTTTGAACATCAAAGGGAAATACGCGAAGATTACATGTTTCACAGAAAATTTTCATTTCTTTGTTACTTATGGGGAGGGAGAGAGGGGAATCGTTACAAAAAAATTGCTTTTGATTCACTAATTTATTAAAAATTTAACGTAGAAATAACGGTATCGTATTTAATGAAATTTATAAAATAATTTAGCCGTAATATTTTCAAAAGTAATTAACATCACGGTTTTTAATATCTGGGTTGTATCTCATGTTTTTTTTCTTATGAATAATTATGTCGAAATGTAATTATCAGACGTAGAAATGAATTATCTCTGACTTAACTAACTTTGTGTGGCTGAAGTTATATAATGCAATATAACGCAAGGGCTAACAGTAGTTGCGAAAGTTGCAATATTGTTGCAGTGTAGTGATTTTATGTATAGTAATTTTACGTTTGTCAGTACAGCGCGTTGCAATTTTAATTGTGCTAATTCTACGCTTGATAACATAACGTGCGGCGATATAACGCGAGACAATTCCTCAAATAGTAATTTCATGTATGGCAACACAACGAGTAATAATATAACGTGTAAGGATTCTACGATATAGATTCTGAAATATTCATACTTGGTAATACAACATGTGGCGATATAACGCGAGAGAGTTTTACCATATTATAATTCCACGTATGACAACATAACGCGTAGTAATTTCATGCTTAACAATATAGCGCATGATAGTTCTACACATAACAATTTTACTTACAGCAATTTATCGAATGGCGATATAGCGCGAGATAAGTCTGGACATTATTTTTACACTTAAGAATACGATAACGAGTATTTTTACACTTGACAATATAACACATGACGATATAGTACATGACAGTTCTACACATAGCAATTTTATTCTTGACAATTTAACGAGTGGCGATATAACGCGAAGTAAATTTAGGAATAGTATTTTCATGCTTGTGAATATAACACGTGGCGATATAGTACATGACAATTCCATACGTAGTAATTTTATTTTTGGCAATTTAACGAATGGCAATATAGCACGAGATAAGTCTAGACAGTATTTTTACACTTAAGAATACGATAACGAGTATTTTTATACTTGACAATATAACACATGACAATATAGTACATGACAGTTCTACACATAGCAATTTTATTCTTGACAATTTAACGAGTGGCGATATAACGCGAAGTAAATTTAGGAATAGTATTTTCATGCTTGTGAATATAACACGTGGCGATATAGTACATAACAATTCCATACGTAGTAATTTTATTTTTGGCAATTTAACGAATGGCAATATAGCGCGAGATAAGTTTAGGCACAGTATTTTCACGTTTGATAATACAACGTGTTGCAATATAGAGTATAATAGCTCCGCAAGCAGGAATTTTACATATGGTAATTAATGAATGGCGATATAATGCGAGATAAATCCAGGCATCGTTATTTCTACACTTGACAATTCAAATCATGACAATATAGTGTATAACAGTTTCACAAGTAGCAATTTTATTTATGGCAATTTAACAAGTGGCGATATAACGCGAAATCACTTCAGATATAGTATTTTCACGCTTGTCAATATAACTCTACCGGTATAGCGCATAACAGTTCAACACAGAGATATTTTACTTGTGACAATTTAACGAGTGGCAATATAACGCGAGATAAGTCCAAACATAGTATTTCCTTGCTTGGAACCACACCGTGTTGTGATATAGCACGTTGCAGTTCCACGCATAGTAATTTTATTCGTGATAGCTTAACAAATGGCGATATAACGCGCAATAAGTCCAGGCATAATATTTCCATACTTGGCAATAACGCATTATTAACAAATGGCGATATAACGCGCAATAAGTCAAGGCACAGTATTTCCACGCTTCACAATAACGCATTTTATCTTAAATACTACATTTTCCGCAATGAAATAATTAATGCATTTATTTTGCGTAAATCATTATTATACAACAGCGAATAATTTCATCCATAACTGAATGTATACCAAAAGACCTGTTGGCCATTTTCATGTTTGTAATAAGCGAAAATCGGAAGCGAATACCTTCGCATGTTCCTTTGTCAGACATATTGGGAATGATGATTCTGGTGAGCGGAAATTCATTAGCTGTGAATGAGAGATCGATTCGCTAATTACACTGTCTTCGGTGGGAAGATCCGTTAATTATCTCGGCAACCTAATTAAAGCCAAAGCGAAATTAATATGCTTGTCGCGGAGGTTAAATTGCCATGATAAAAGCGACGGACATGTTTTATAATTAAAATCGGTCCATTCTGTCCGTACTTATTCTTTTCACTGTTTTTTAATATGGAAACTGTTCCTCCTCTGCAAATGTGACGATACTTTGGCACGCTGATATACAAAAAGAGTCTACTACTAAAATATTTCGCGAAATGAGGAAAATCAGTGAAAATTGAAATGTCAGAGGGTAAAAGCGCTCGGAATTTGCATTGTTAATGCAAATAATGCTTTTCATTTTTTCATTAATAATAAGATTATTTTTTCGCACGGAAAGAAAAAGCTCTTCTAACTAAATAGATTTCGTAATGACATGTTAATTCGAGCTGCATTAATGTCGTTGAAGGATTAATTTTTGTGTAGGAATATTATTGAAATATTATTTTTATACTTATTTAGAAATTAAGTTAATTTTTATCTAAAAATCTAAACATCCAAAAAATAAAAAAATTAAAAATCTAGAAATCAAAAACCTAAAAATCTAAGAATCTAAAAATCTAAGAGTCTAAAAATCTAAGAGTCTAAATATCTAAAAATCTAAGAATTTAAAGATCTAAAAATCTAAAAATCTAAAAATCTAAAAATCTAAAAATCTAAAAATCTAAAAATCTAAAAATCTAAAAATCTAAAAATCTAAAAATGTATAAATTTAATGCAATTTTATAACAATTTAAAAACGTAACTAATTGTACGATAACCCACGTGCACAAAATAATTTTCAAATATATTCTAACGATTACAATATCTAAGAAAGAAAAAGAAAAGGAATTTTCTTGAAATTACAGCTTAGTATTTCAAATGGTGGAAGCTGAAGAGGAGTACACGGAACAAATGGAAATCTTAGTAAGCTGTTTCTTGAGGCCTTTCAAGATGGCTGCCAGTTCAAAGAAACCCCCTTGTAGTCACGAGGACGTGAATAGCATATTCTTAAATAGCGAAACCGTGTTGTTTCTCCATCAAATCTTCCTGAAAGGTCTTACTTCGCGTATGGAAAGCTGGCCCACTTTAGTTTTAGGTACGTTTTTAATTATTCATTCTTCAAACTATTTTAATTATAATTCTATACATATGAGCTTATTTTGAAGGTGGCCTATTTGTCATTTATTTGTTGTGACCCATTTCTTAGTTATTTGTCGTTAACTATAGTAACAAGTTCATAGTAACTATAATAACTGTAGTAATAAGTTCATAGTAACTACAGAAACTATAGTAACAGTTAAGCTGCCGCTAGATATAATTCACGTTTACCGCAGCTCACGACCGAATTAACGCTGAGCGTCACAAATTGTTTCTAATGAAAAACCGAGAAAAAAAATAACAGAACTTGTTTTAATAGCAGAACAAATTCGTTTTGACGCTGCAAGATTTATACGAAAGTTTATTTTCAAAGTGGTACATTTATCAGCTTAACTGTGGTAATTGATGTTAACTGTCACTTTGCGGTTAAGTATACATTTGGACATATTTTTCGCAGTTAATAGATGAAAAATTGACTGAAAGTGGCCTAAGTCCGATTGATAATGTCAGAAACCGCGGATTTTCAAATGTCCGCGGTGATGATGGTAATTACAATTATTAGTTAGTTGATATAATAATTAATTAGTATTAATACGATATACACCGAGGCACCATGACTTCAAATCCTTTCCGCATACACGAAATGTAGACGAGCAGTAGTCATGTAATTTATATAGTTAGATTTCCTGAATCGCATAAATGTTTTTCAAGTGCTGTAATGAAATATAAAAGAAATTGAATATTGTTTTTTCAAGTCGAAGCTTTTTAAATTATATCGAATATGGGCTGTTTCTTTGATGACAAATGTTAATTTTGAAGGTGGCTTAAGTCCATTCTTGGTGAGGAGACATTCTCTTAATAATTGCTATTATTTTAATAGGAATTGTAAATTTAACTCTTAGATACACTTTAGGAGGATACATTGGTAATCTACTTTGAATTTCGTTGAAACACAAACTCTTAAATTTTTCAACTTAAAGAAAGATGGACTTACGCTGCTTTCAAAATAAAAATATTAAAATGTTATTGCTAATCATTATATATTATTACTAATATTACTCAAACATTTTTCTCTAATCCAAAACAATTTACAATAATATATATTTATAAAAATATAATATTATTCCTTTAAATAATTTTTCAGCTATATAATTTAATAATTGTCTTCAAATGATTTTTATATTAAAGTTTGTTAGAACGAAATAATTGTTAAAGTTAATGGTATATATTTTTGTTCTTGTAGGTGATTTATTTGACATGTTATTACCAATGTTGTCAATTTATCAAGAGTACGTGAGGAATCATCATTATAGTCTTCAGGTGTTAACCGAATGCAAGCAATCATCACCCTCGTTTGCTGCATTGCTCACTCGATTGGAGAACAAGAATGCTTGTGGAGGTCGTTCTCTAGAGACTTTCCTAACATATCCTATGCATCAGGTACGTTAATTACTAGTTCCATGTAAATTACTTTCTAATCGATAATTAATTCCTAATCGATAATCACATACGTTTGCGGTTTCAATATTCCTTCGACAATTTCGTACAATGTTTTATGGGTAAGATAATTTGGTAAAACGTTCATAAATATCAAAGTTTTGAGGATTTAAAACTGAAGATTTCAAAATTACAAGGATTCAATATTCGAGAAAAAGATTTTAAGATATTCAAGTTGCAATATAGTTTTTGAATTGTAATATTCGAAAGATTTAATTATGGCACTAAAATATTTCGAAATTCTAAAGTTTTATAATTATAAAATTTCAAACTTTCCAAATTTCTAAATTTCTAAAATTCCAAAATTCTCCAAATTCTCCAAATTCCAAATTCCCCAAATTCCAAATTCCCCAAATTCCAAATTCCCCAAATTCCAAATTCCCCAAATTCCAAATTCCCCAAATTCCAAATTCCCCAAATTCCAAATTCCCCAAATTCCAAATTCCCCAAATTCCAAATTCCCCAAATTCCAAATTCCCCAAATTCCAAAATTCCCCA